CAAGCATGGGCTGGGCACAAGTGTCCATCCCACGGAAACCTCGCAGCGCCCTCACGGGAGCAGGACTGTGACCACCTCTGTGTGACAGGTGGGAACCCAGAGAGGCGAGGAACCGGTAGAGGTCACACCGTCTACGTGGCGTTACGTGGTTTCAAAGCGCAAGGTCCTGCTCAGTGCAGCAGGACGGGAGTCCTCGTGCGTGGGAGACCCAGGCTGAGCTGCATCCACTGAGTGAGCTTGTTGACAGAAGTATGGGGGGAAACAGCATGGACACCAAAGGGCTCAGAGGGAATTTTTGTATTTTAAAAATATATTTTATTGATTTTTCACAGAGAGGAAGGGAGAGGATAGAGAGTTAGAAACATCGATGAGAGAGAAACATCGGCCAGCTGCCTCCTGCACAACCCCCACTGGGGATGTGCCCGCAACCAAGGCACATGCCCTTGACCAGAATCGAACCCGGGACCTTTCAATTCACAGGCAGCTGCTCTATCCACTGAGCCAAACGGGTTTCGGCCAGAGGGAATTTTTAGAAAGGCACAGACAGGGCACAGACAAATTAGGACGGCTCCCCATCCAGCTAGTAGGCTCTGCCCACCTGCCCAGAGTCTCCCTCACCTGGTGCCCTTTTCTACCTGCCCATCTGGGACTGCCAGTGTCTCACCTGCCATTCGATGGGCTTCTTCTAGACAACCATCGGCTGCCTACCCCGACCCCGAGGAGCGAGAGAATGCCTTGAACACGGAGTATTTCGGAGATTCTGAATCACCATCCCATGCCGGGGGTGGGGGAGGATGCCACCGTCTCTGAGCAGGGGGCTGCCCCCACGTTGTTGAAGCTGTCACCTTTCCTCTGTGAAGCTGCCCCTGGTTTTCTCTGGATTCTTCCTCTGCCCCAGCCCTGAGGGCCTTGCAATGTGACTGTTCCCCTGTGAGTCCCTCTCCCTCGGGGTGTGACCTCCTTGAGAATAAGGAATGAGACTTAAAATCATCCCTCTATCACCTGGCTGGCATGGCTCAGTGGTTGAGCATCAACCTATGAACCAGGAGGTACCGGTCAGGAGGTCACGGTTCAATTTTCGGTCAGGGCACGTGCCCGGGTTGCAAGCTCAATCCCCAGTGTGGGGTGTGCAGGAGGCAGCCAATCAATAATTCGCTCTCATCATCGATGTTTCTAGCTCCCTCTCCTTCTCCCTTTCCTCTATGAAATCAATTATATATATACAAAAATCATCCCTATGTCTCAGGGGTCTGGCTCAGAGCAGGTGCTCAATGAATGCTTGTTGAATGGGCAACCAATGGTAATTGCATCTATTTATTTTTTTTTATTGAGTTTCCATGATGACCCAAGCCCGGTGCTTTGGTGCACATTATTTTTAATGTACAAGATCAATTTTAGTAATTCTGTTTTACAAATGGCAAAACAATGCTCAGAAAGGTTAAGTCGCTTACCTGCCCAAGGCCACTCAGCCAACACAGGGGGGTTCTGGGAGCCAGGGCATCCCTAAGGGGCTCCCCGCCTGGCCTAGCACACCCAGGGTTCCAACCCTGACACTCTCTGCTCCCTTGTCTTCTAGGCTGAAACAGGCACAAAGTTCTGTGACCCGGCCTCCTAACCGTCTCGAATGTAAATTCCCTCCTCTCCTTCCTCCGGCCTCTGCTCTAGTCTCAGCCTAGAACTGCTTGTTCACCAGGACTCACCTCCAAATTGGGGTTCTCGCCTCCAGGTTTGCCCTCACCATCAACCCTTCACCGGGCTGCCAGAGAGTGCGTCCGCACTCCCAGCCTGGTGATCGTCTCTCTCCTCTGCTCCACGTGGCTGTGTGTCCTCGGGAGGGTCCTGGCTCCTCATCAGGACGGAGTAGAAGGGTCTTCAGAAACCGGCATCTGCCTCCCTTTATGGCGTCACCTCCAGCCCCACTGCTTCTAAACTCTTGCCTCACAGAACTGTGTGTGTGTGTAAGGGGGGGCGGGGGGGGGAGATGGGGAAGGGGGGGCGGTGTTCTCTTGTCCATGCACTTTGCAGGCCGGGTGAGACCTCCTGGAAAAACAAACAAAAACCCTTCCCCGTCTCCAGGGCCCTCTCTTCCCATAGGCCTCAACTCCAGCAGCGAGTGACCCTCCAGACAGACAGCGCCACCTCAGTCCGGAGTGAGCATGTTGACAGGAGTATGGGGGGAATCCTCAAACACAGTTCCTTTTCCATAGCCCCTCTCTCTGCCCTCCCCTGCCTCCGCCTGGCCTCCTTGTCCCCCAGTCTTCTCATCACAGACATGGATTCTAGAACCAGGTAGGTTGCTTCCTCTCCCCAAGGCCTGGAGGTTCTAGATCCATCCCTCTTCACATCCCTTCAACACTCAGCAGTTGTTGTTTTTTATTTTTTTTAATTTATTTATTTATTAAAATTTATTTTATTGATTTCTCACAGAGAGGAAGGGAGAGAGATAGAGAGCCAGAAACGTGATGAGAGAGAAACATCGACCAGCTGCCTCTTGCACACCCCCCACCGGGGATGTGCCCGCAACCAAGGTACATGCCCTTGACCGGAATCGAACCTGGGACCCTCCAGTCCGCAGACCGACGCTCTACCGCTGAGCCAAACCGGCTTCGGCATCAGTTGTTGTTTTTTAAATTAAAAAAATGAATTGTGCCCTAACCAGTTTGGCTCAGTGGGTAGAGCGTCGGCCTGTGGACTCAAGGGTCCCAGGTCCGATTCCAGTCAAGGGCATGTACCTTGGTTTTGGGGAGTGTGCAGGAGGCATCTGACCGATGTTTCTCTCTTGTCGATGTTTCTAACTACCCCTCTCCCTTCCTCTCTGTAAAAAAAAATCAATAAAATATATTTTTAAAAAATGAATTGCATGTATTATTTTGTTAATCCTCACCGGAGGATATTTTTCCCATTGGTTTTTAGAGAGAGTGGAAAGGAGTGGGAGAGAAAGAAAGAAACATCGAGGTGAGAGAGATACATCGATTGGTTGCCTCCCACATGGGCCCCGGCCAGGGCCTGGGGTCCAGCCTGCGACCCAGGCATGTGCCCTGGGCCAGAATGGAACCTGAGACCCTCTAGTCACCGAGCCAAACCAACCAAGGCTCCGCAGTTTTATTATTTTTTATTTTATTATTTTTAATTTTTTTAAATATATTTTACTGATTTTTTACAAAGAGGAAGAGAGAGGGATAGAGAGCTAGAAACGTCGATGAGAGAGAAACATCGACCAGCTGCCTCTTGCACACCCCCTACTGGGGCTGTGCCCGCAACCAACGTACATGCCCCTGACCGGAATCGAACCTGGGACCTTTCAGTCCGAAGACCGACGCTCTACACTGAGCCAAACCGGTTTTCGGCCGCAGTTTTATTTTTAATAAAATAAAATAAAATAAAAAATCTAAAATAAATAAATAAATAAAATAAAATTTAAAAAATCTACCTGCCCTGGCAGAACACACGGAGGTGGCAAAGAGTTGGGAGCCCCTTCGCGGTTGCCCCTGCGGACTGCCTGCGGGACAGCCTCCTGCAGGGCCCAGCTGCTGCGTCCTCCACCACGCCCTCCCCGGAGTCTAGAGAGGCCCTACTGCCCGCTGTTGCTGGAGGGCAGATGGCTGGCCGGAGGGTGAGACCGTGGGGCCCAGTCTTCTGGACAGGAAATTGTTCTAATCTCAACAACTCCTTCTCCCCAGGGAGAGGCCCCGGCTCAAAGCCTAGGACCTAAAGGGCGGCGGTGACTTCCGATCAATCCTAGGAAAGGGTTCTTCCCAAGACACCTCCCCTGTGCCCCCGCCAGGACCCCCAAACCAAGGAGGCCACGCCCACTGGCAGGGCAGAGGACACAGACCTTGCTTTGGTGCCCATCAGGCCTGAGGAGCCACCCCCTCTCCTCCCAGCGCTCAGGAGGAAGCAGGGCTGGGGGACCCCAAGGGGCCACTTGGCCTGTCCCCCCATCTCAGTCTTCCTTTGATGCCTGAAGTCGGATGTGCGGGTGGAGTGGCCACGGGCTGGGGTCCTAATCGTGGCTTGTCATGAACTGCTCGTGGGGCTTTGGGCCAGTTCACCCCCTTTCGGGACCTCAGTTTCCCCTCATGTACATGAAAGCTGGACCAGTCCGTCAGTATTCTTGGACGCTTCAGCTTCTCAGTGGACCTGCAGGGCCCCATTCTGGAAGGACAAACTGAAAGAGCCTCCGGGTAGGAAGTGGGGGTGATGGCTATTGGTAGGGCTCCTTCAGGCCCTAGAATTGGGGCCATCCAGGCGGGAGCTTTGTACGTCAAGGGAAGTGACAAGTCCCAGAGGACAGGGCAGAGGAAGGGCCCCAGGGCTACTGCTGCCAAGAACTCTAAAGGGCCGAAAACCAGTATGGCTCAGTGGATAGAGGGTAGGCCTGCGGACCAAAAGGTCCCAGGTTCGATTCCGGTCAAGGGCATGTACCTTGGTTGCAGGCACATCCCCAGTAGGGTGTGTACAGGAGGCAGCTGATCAGTGTTTCTCTCTCATTGATGTTTCTAATCCCTCTTTCTTCCTCTATATAAAAAATCAATAAAATATATTTAAAAAAAAAAAAAAAGAACTCTGAAGGCCAGACTGACCTACTGGACCTGTCTGTGCACCTTCCCTCCCGCCAGGCGCTGGGCGCAGGGTCAGGCTCAGAAGGTGGGGGAGCTCAGGCCCCTCAGTCAATCACCCGGGGCCTGGCCCCGTCCTGGGGTGCTCCAGCCCAGAGGGTCTCACCCCTTCGTCAAGGCTCTCCCGCCAGCCCCAGAGGAGGGCCGGCAGGCAGAGCCCAGGCCTGGGACCCAGGCCGGAAGCGGTGCTCGCGCAGGGTGCCCCGAGTGGGCGAAAGGGGTGGGCGCCCCGGGCAGAGGGAGCCGCGGAGATTGGCAGCTGCTGTGCTGCCCGGGAGGGACGGGGAGGAGTCAGCTTGTACACGTGAAAAACTCCGGCGGCGGGGCCGGGCTTTCCCTTCCTCCTCCTCCTCCTCCTCCTCCCCCTCCTGCTCCCCACCTTCCTCCCTCCTCCCCTCCCCTCCCCTGCACCCTCCCAGCCAGCTCAGGTTGCAGCCGCTCGGGGAGCCGCTCACCTTTCGGGAGCAGGGCCGGCACCTCGGAGCCGGGGCAGGGACCCCGACCGGGCGCGGGGCGCGGGGCGCGGCGCCCACCCCGGGGCCCGGGACGCGCGGTGAGTCCCGCCGGCCGGGCCGGGAAGGAGGGGCGCGGGGGGCACCGCGGCGCCAGCGGAACGGAGCAAAGGTGAGCTGGGCAGCTCTTAAAGGCGCCGCTGCCCCTGCTGGGGGCGAGCGGGTGGGGGAGCCTGGGGCAGGCTGGGGCAGCGGCGGCGTGGGAGATGGGGGGGGTCGCGAGGCGTTGCTGGGGGTGGCGGGCGATGCCAGTCTCCCGTCCCAGGTGCTCCGGAGGGAGGGCGAGTTTGCATTCTCTCCCCCGCACCCCCCACTCCCTCTCCTCCCCGGAGTCCGCATCGGGACTCCCCTGGACCCCCCGAGCTCGGGCTGAACCCTGGCAAGCAAAGTTTTCCACTCGGCGGCCGACCTGGCCAGGCTTTCCGAGCGCCCTTCCTCCTGGGGAGGGCAAGGGTCAGGCGGCTCCGGCGACGAGGAGGGAACCGGCGAGTGTGGGGCCAGATCGCTGCCCCAAGGGCTTTCGGGGATCCCCGGGGAACTTTCTAGAGCCCAGCTGGGCGGGCGAGGCGGGGCGCCCTGGGGTGAAGGGGGAGGCTCTGCAGGGTCCGGCGCTGGAGGTGGTGGGAGGGGGTGGGCGCAGCCTCTGGGGTTTGCCGCCTCCGCTCCCTCCCCACCCAGGAGCCCAGAGGGGCATGGCCCCGGGGGAGCCCCGGCCCAGGGTTAACGGCCTCCCTGGGGGGTGGGGGGAGGAGCGGGGAATGGTGGGCGCCTGCGGGGGAAGGCATGGGCAGGAGGGCGGTGCTGTGCGGGGCCAGGATCCGCGTGGGAGATGCGGTGCGGAGGACCAGGACGCAGGCCTGTGCTGGAAGCGCCTGTGAGACAGCGGCTGGTTTTCTGTGCGGTGGGGTCCCCATCCCGCCAGGCACCCCTGGCCTCTTCCTGGTGCTCTCTGCACCCCTTCCTGGCACAGGGGTGGGAGCTGGGGAAGCGCGGAGCGGAGGTCAGCCCTGAGAACCCCACCCCAGGCCCGGCCAGCCCTCAGAGGTTGCCCAACGGTGGCTGGGGCCCTGGGTGACTCACTGACACCAGTGGTGTGGCCCTCCTGTGTCAGCGTCCTGTGGGGTTTGGCATGCTCGGTGGCCTTTCCCGCTGGGGCCGGCCACGCAGCACCGTCCTGGCCCCTGGCCCGAGGGAGCCCAATCCTCAAAGACACCCAGTCCCCTCAGGCCCCCTGCCTGGAGCCTGGCCTTGGCAGGGGCTGGGGCCACAGTGGCTCAGGGTTCGGGGAAAGTGAGGCAACGTTGGCTCCTGGGTTTGGGTCTGCATCCTGCAGGCGGGCTGGAGGGGTCACGCTGCCAAAGCCGCCATCTAGGACGGCCCTGCCCCGGTGCCTGCTGCGTAGCTGATGGGCCAGGGAGGCCGACCTCCTCCCACTCCTGCAAACGCACTGCCCATTGGGTTCCCGGGAGACTCCCCGCCGTCATGCTCCCCAAACTCGCCGGGTCTCCAGAGCTAGAGGAGCTTCAGTGGGTTGCCCTGGTGGCCACCATAGAGTGTCTACTCCGTGCCGAACAGAGTGTCACATGGCTGTAGGAGTGGGTGTTGTGTGTCGTCCCCCCCCCCCCCCCCCCCCCCCCCCCGTCCCAGGGGAGGACACAGCTGCTCTGAGAGACCAGCTTTCCCAGAGTTGCAGAGGTGGGAGCCAGGCCACGTCGAGGGGACCCCCAGCTCCCTGCTCAGCCTCTGCCCCATCAAAGGAGAGAGACCCCAGCCCACCCGGACTCCTCTGGCTCCCGCTCAGCCCCAGGGGAGGGGAAGGAAGGATGGGGGTGATGCTCCTGTAAGAGATCCCTGTGTGTCCTGTGCCAGGCAGAGCCAGCCTCTCCATGGGGTGCAGGAGAAGGGGCACCAGATCTGAGGAGCGAGTAGGTTCCTGGTCTGGGATCTCATGCGCTCAGATGCCCGCCTTGGAAGCTGGATCCCTCGTCCCTCCTCCCCGTCCCCTCTCCCGGGGCCTCTGGGAGACAGAACTGCCTTCTAGCTGCATTTGTTTTCCCTATCCTCTGCCCACCTGTGCCTTCTGTGCCCGGGCACACAGGCTCCATGCTGCTGGGCGGAGCTTGGCTCAGCTCCTACCCCAACCTTGTCTCTCCTTTCCCTGCGACACCCCATTTGTACTTTTTGTCCAGCATCTCCTTTGCTCTCCCCTGACTCCTTCTCTCCGTGTCTCATTTGAGGTCTAAAGAAGGTGGGAGGAGGGGCCGGACGGAGGCCCGCTCCAGCACACACCAGCTGTGCGACTCCTCTCTCCCGGCAAATTTCTGAGCCTCTTCCCCCGGCCTCGGCCGCCTCATCTGGGAAACGGGGATCCTGATCGGAGGGTTGTTGCGTGGATGACGTGAAGGAGCACGGTTCCTGGCACGCGGCAGCGGCTGCGTGACCAGGCGCTGTTCGTACCGCTGCTGGTTATTTAGTAAGGGATTTCCTGGTCTTGGCGCTGCGCTGGCTCTGGGGCAGAAAGAGACCGAGGCAGGCTTTCCTGATCCCGTCAGGCCCGGCTCTCGGTCTCTCTCCTGCGCGTCCAGGCTCGGGAGGAAGGCTCTGCCTAAGAGAATGAGGGGACTGGGGCGCAGGCTGGATGGAAACCTGCGGGAGGAAGCCAGGAATCTGTGCCGTGGGGACATCCTCTAGCTCCCAGGATGAGTGAGGTAGGCACTGGGAGCTGGGAACCTTCAGCCTCCTCCTCTGAGGCCTCCGGGGCAGGCCTCTTCCCCCGGGGGTAAGACGCCCCCCTCCCCCAGCACTTAATTAATTGCAGTCCCTGTTCTGCTCTGTTGTCCATGAGGGAGTGGCTGGCCTGGGTCCAGACTCACCTGATTAACTTCTCGATCCCTTTGGGAACGAGTCACATTTCTCTTCCCCGGCCCCGTGTCCCGCCATAACCCCTTCTCCTCTCCCCACCTGGACCCTTCACCTTTGTCCTCCCGGCGTTCGCTGCTGAGTGGGCACTTCCCCACCTCCGGGGGCGGGAGCAGACAAGCACAAGCAGGGGAGTCTTGTCTTGTTCTGGTCCCCACAGCTATGAACACACAGGCAGAGCCCACACCCAGGCTGGGCTCACGTAGGTCAGGGACAGGGTCAAACACCCAGGACCTGACACACCTGTGGCTGGGCCCACAGGGGCTCCGAGCGGGACACGGGGGCACAGCCGCCCATCGGGAGGAGGAGAGCAGCGGCCCATCTCAGCCAGCCCTCCTGTGTGAGGGAGCGCCATCTGCTCCTGACACCTCCTCGGTGGTGCCGTCTGCAGGGGAGGAGGGATCAGGCGGCGATGGGTTTGGCTTTGAACCGAAAAGGGTCTTGATGCTCTCTTTAAAAAAAAAAAAAAAATTTTTTTTAAAAATTTTTTACAGAGAGGAGGGGAGAAGGATAGAGAGTTAGAAACATTGATGAGAGAGAAACATCGATCAGCTGCCTCCTGCACACCCCCCACTGGGGATGTGCCCGCAACAAAGGTACAAGCCCTTGACGGGAATCGAACCTGGGACCTTTCAGTCTGCAGGCTGACGCTCTATCCACTGAGCCAAAGTGGTTTCAGCTTGACGCTCTCTGGTCACAGGAGTGGCCCCTGAGGAGACAGCTGTTCCGGACTTCGAAGGGGACCGTGAGTGATGAGACCCCGGTCCTGGAACTCGGCATGATGGTCCCTCCCTGTGCCTCTGCCCCACCCCCAACACTCACGTCTTCCCTTGTAGGGGTGTCGAACTCAATCAGAGAAGGGGCCAAAATCTAAAATCCAGCCTAAATCGCGGGCCGAATGGTTTACTGAACAGTCATAAACTGTCATTGTGATGGAAACGCAGAGGAGTGCAGTGATGACAGCGCGGTGTGGGCCACATTGCAAGGCCTGGCGGGACGGATTTGGCCCGCGGGCCTTGTGTTTGACACATGTGCCTTAGGGGCTGGGATGACTCTGTAATGGCTGGTGCAGTCGTTCATTTTCTGCCTGTTGAGCGTCTCCCTCCTGTCAACGGCCAGGGTGGATGCCACGTATGGGCTTTGGGGTCAGGGGTCAGCTCACATCCTGCCTCTGCCATTCCGTAAGTGGCTGCCTAGAAGAGGGAACTTGCTCACCCGTGTTTGTTTCCTCATTTGGCAAATGGGGAGAGTAATTAGCGTTACTTCATGTGGTTGTGCGGATTCCAATGAGATAATGCCCACAAACGCTGAGCTACTTAGTTGTTTATCCTTACCTGAGGATATTTTTCCATTGCCTTTTTTTTTTTTTTTTAAGAAGGTGGGAAGGAAGGAGAAGGCAGAGAGATAGAGATAGAGAGAGAGAGAGAGAGAGAGAGAGAGAGTCAGACATCAATTGGTTGTCTCTTGTATGCACCCTGGCTGGGACTGGGAATCAAACCTGCCACCCAGGTACATGCCCTCGACTGGGAATCGAACCCACAGCCCTTTGGTGCATGGGCCGACGCTCTAACCATCTAGCCACACTGACCAGGGCCACCGTCTCCTAACTTCTTGCCTTACGTGGTAGGGTGGGTGCTAGATTCTAGTGCCATACAGGCACCGGATGCTCCGGGGCAAGGCTTGGCCAACCGTGGCTCTTGGCCAAAGCCAGCCTGTTTCAGGAGGGCCCATGAGCTAAGAATGTGCTCTGCAGTTTTATGTGGCTGGGGAAAATTCCACAGGAGACGCTAATATTTTGTGACACTTGAGAATTGTACACAATTCAAATGTTATTGCCCACGAGTCCAGCTCACTGAGTTTCCATCCGTCTGAGGGCACTGGCCCCTGGGTCGGAGTCTGGGGTTGCTGCAGAGACTGAATGGCCCCGGAGCCTGAAGCACGGGCCGCCTGGCTTTGCCAGAAGACGCTTGTTGACCCTGCTCCAGATAATTCCCGTCCTCCCAAGGCTGGCGCTGAACAGCCCTGGAATCTCGGCCTAAAAATACTTTGCTTTCACTTAGAAAGAAGTGTTACTTCTTTCGACCTGAGCAGGGAATGCTCATTATGGGAAATATTAGATGATGTAAATCAGCAAAAAGAAGGCTT